CAATCTTTGGCTATGTCTTCGGCTACTCAAATATTTTACGTTTTTGATACTAAATTAACTTCTGAAGTATAATTTTTTATTGTTTTTATATTTTTCAATATATTTATTTTGTTTGTACAAAATAAAAAAATAATTTTTAACGATACAATAGTCTTCGTTAGGCTTAACATCGACGAAAATTCGACGCGAAGCGACACGCAATGGAGAAAAATTCAACATGGGATAAATTAATATATTTTTTCGTACATAATTGGTTATCCGAACAACCCCAGTCCCCAATTGATTCGGATAAACGACACTCTACTGTATTTATACAAGCATACCTCACTAATATGGCAGATTAGATTCCAGATAACTGCTATAAAGCAAAGCACAGCACTTTTTGCACTTGCCAGTGCATCTAAAAGCTTAAAGACATATTTAACTATCCTTTTTTAAGTGCACAACAGCAATATGATTCAAAAGAAATTGAAAAAATGATTCAAAAGAAAAAATAATAAATAAAGAATCCAAAAACATTCTTAAGAGTAAGACAAGCTCAAAAACAATAAACATGAATCTAATTGACATGTGCTGTAAAACAAAGTGCTTTATAGCAACATTTACCTGTATAATGACTTTTTTTAATTTGTAAATAGCTCATGAAAAACGCTTAACAAAAGATTATGTTCACTGTCATATGACTTTTTCGTTGTCAAGAAAAATAATAAATCTGAAATTTCACTTACAACAGTACTTTGTATCTAAGCATGTTTAAATTTAAAATAATTAAAAATCTGTGGAATAAATTGTGGATAATAAAAAAATATTTTACATATTTTATAAATCATATTGCAATTTTATTTTATTAAAATTTCAATAAATATTTAAAATTAAATAATAGACTGGCTTTATTTACTTATATTTAGTATGTAATTCTAAATTATAATTAAAAAGGATACGCTTTTCTTAATGGTGTTACTGGAGTCCTTGCTTTTTTATTGCTTTTCTGTGATGAGGATGGTGTTTTAATTTTATTTAATTCCTAAAATAAATAACATACAAAATAAATTATATTTTCTTAAAATAATACATACATTTTATGTCAATATCACTGACAATAATTTTTTTTTAATATTTCAACAAAAGGTATTCAATATACATTTTGAAATTTTTACTTAATGATGACTTACTTAATGATGAACTAATTTTGGTTTTATTGAAAAGTATTATAACTTTATATAATTTAAGTATTCCCATCAATGATACTGCAAAATTTATTGAAATATAATATTTTCAGATGATAAATACCTTCTCTAAACCTATTAATTGATTAAAAAAAACTCTAACATTATAGATAACTTTAACATTGATTAAAAAATTAAATATTTACTTAGAAATTTTTTATAAATATTTAATTTTTTATGGCTTATAAGAAGTTTTAAGAAATACCATATTTACTCGCATATAAAAAGAGATTTTTATTCATTTTTGATTGCTTCAAAAACCTACATCATCCTATACGAGTGAGCAAAGGATTCCTTGCATTTTCACAATAAGTTTTGTGAATTATGTGTTTGCATTTTTTACTAGATGCTCACCCTCTGGTGTTTAAAAACAAAAGTATTTCATCTGGATTGTTTCAATCATTCTTGTGTATTGTCAGGAGTAAAGATGAATAGCAACAGGAAAAGCAAAGCTTTTGAATTAAATTCCAATTTGAAATTCCAAAATCACACGGGAGCCAATATAAGTTTTAATCCATTCCCAGGTGAAAAGAGATGATTATTCAAAAATCAGAATTTGGAGAAACTCATAAGTGATTACACTTATGAGTTTCTCCAAATTCTGATTTTGGAGAAACTCATAAGTGTTTGCATTTTTAGCAATAGTTTGCAATAGTTTGCAAGTGGATTAGAATCCACTCTAATCAATGGAGAGTGGATTCGACCATTAAGAATTGGCAAAAATTGTCCAGCTTTACATGAACAAATTATGTTGTTGATTTTACAAGATTTTTCCTTAAAGTTCAAAATGTCAGTAATTTTTGCAGGACAATGTGTGCATTTATATGCATTTGACATTTTATTTGTGATTAAACAAAATAAAATTAAATTGTATTAATAAATCCAATTTTCTTTATTTTGATCTTTAAATAAACAACTATCTACCATTATTTATTTGAAGTATATACAACCCGATGTGGTGAGAAAGTATATTTTGATCTTTAAAGTCACACCTTGTCCTATATGCAAGATCGTCTTATAAGCGAGTAAATACAGTAAGTTTTAATAGGATTTGTATTATGATTCTATTAATTTTAGATATGTATGCTATCTGTTAAGTTATATTTGAATTGTTCTCATATAATTTACATTCACAATAGAATCTGTTTATAATCACCAATAACATTAAACAGGTTATGTAAATAACACTACTATTGGTGGAGATTTTGGTTTTATTGATCCTGACATTAAAAGGATATGTTTAAAACAATTAAGAAATGTATAAGTGTGCAAGTAAGCAAGACTAAAATTTTATTAATAGTAATTCATTCTATTTTGTTTGCATACTGTATTTTTATAAATTCTTTAACAACAACTTGTATATAAATAAAGAAAGAAATGCCAGCAATTTAAACTACTATATTATAGTAACTAATTAAAACAATTAGCATTTAACATTTTAGCTCTGATTAAATCTGCTGAGAACACATGATATGATGAGGGCACATAGTTATTACATGCCCTCATCCTTTATGTGTGGCTGATAGCATGATAAGATAGCTTAAAAATGCCTATTTGTAACCCCGTATGCACTAGAAATGAATACAGCTTAAGATAAGCTAACTGAATAAAGTTAAGCTAGACTAGCTCAAAATACTAAGCTGAATAGTTTGCACTTCTTAGTCACAATTATGTCATCACAAGTCCACAACATATAATTACAGAAGTGATTGAAAGTGTGGGATTTTGATGACATCATTTTAAGCTATGTCAAGTTTTTGATCTGGTTTAAGAAACTACCCCATTTCAATCTAGTTTAAATATTTTTAGCTAGTCTTATCATAAGATCTGTAGTTTGCACTACTATTATCAAGCTAACTTTTAAGCTAGCTTAAATTTCTAGTGCATACAGGATATTACCTAAGATAATGATAACTATTGTATAGCCAAAACTTTGATTACAGTAATCAAAGTTTCATAAGTGTATTTACACTCATTGTTTTGATTCATGTTAATTTTGATAACATTAAACAACTAATATCTCTGTTTAAAATAAGCAAATTCTATTGTTTATAAAAACAGAACTGATACCTGTTTTGACCATCTGTTAAAAAATATTTCATCATAAATTTTGAAGTGATAACTACAAAAATTTCAACAAGTAAAGCTATGTCCTATGTGGCAGTGTCCAGTGACCATGGGCATGAATAAGCTACCAAACAGAGCAAACAAACCAATACATGTGAATTTACATGTTCAGAGTAACCATATTTAGTGTGCAGCAATCACCAGATGATGCTTCTACATGTATGTGCAGGAAGCAGCTACCAAGCAAGTTTGATTGCTGCTTCTACTGCATGTGCTTCCAAAGAATAAGAAATGGCTGACTTTGTGGATGAATGAAAACAAAATACCAAATAAATTGTATAAATATGTTGTATATACTTTAATAAAAAATTTTAAAGTAATTTAATAACTTCCAATTTTGTAAATGCAATATTTTGAAAATAAAACTTTTTTTAACTTATTCTATGGAGATTTTTTGTATCAAGTTTGTATCTTTGCTGAGTATCAAGTCATTATTTTAATGCCTTTCAAATTTACCTTTTTAATGCTTCTCATGTTTTCCATGGCAAGCATTCCATGAAGTCATCTCACTACCATTTTGTAAGTAACATGAATCCATTCTGGACAGAAGTCAATCACAAGCTGGAAGCGTGTACTAAAATTTTTTCCACCCATGGATGCTGCCACATAGGACATACTCTAATATTTCATAAACAAGGAAAAACAAAAAGCAAACATGTGGATTCTCAATTTTTAATAAACTAAATAAAGTAAATAAGTAACCAAATAGAAAATAATAAAAATTCTTAAGCAATGTACATTACTTTTTAATCTTGAATGGTTTTATAATATACAAAACAAATACTAACAGGATATTCAAAACCTTCAGAGAAATTTTTCATTTTCTTGAATTTTTAACTTTACTTTGCTATAAGTTCTTTCTAATTTGAAACTCTGTCCATCCATCTTTGCATATATTTAATGCCTTTTATGTATTTGCATATAATTTTGACAGTAGAAACAAAAATTCTAAGTGAATTTAAGAATGAATAAATTATTTACAATTTTTATGAAAAAAAAACCATTTTCTTCATTTTCTTGAACATTTAATTACCTAAGCTAGATTATAAGCTGAAAACAATATAATTATAAATTTGGTTTTTAACTTACATCTTGTTCAAATTGATCAAGTAAGCTTATTGATGGTTCAAATTCAAATCCTTTAGTACTACTGTATGCTATCCATTGTGAAACTATTTCTTCAGCATTTTGGCGATAAACAATGCAAAGTTCTTTCACTAGAAAAATAATATGAAATTTAATAAAAATTTTATTAACATTTTTCAAATTACAACAAAATATTAAAAAACCAAGCACTATCAAGGTCCAAGTGCAGTTTTAAGGATGACCAAGATATCTTATATTTCAAACTCTATATTACAAGCATTACATAAGTAACATAGTACTTATGTAATGCTCTGATGTGATTAAAATGTACAGTTTATAATAATTATAATTCAAAAATTATATATTTTTTTATAACTAGAGATAGTATATGTTTTAAGCATGCACTACCATCATTTTGACACCTTGTTTAGAATGGAAAACATAATTATTTCAATGTGCACTGATGTTAATATTTCTGCTTGCTTACATTAAGAGGATATATGTTGAAAATAATCACTGACAATTGCAGTAAAAAATGAAAATGAAATGTCAGTTATGTGACTAGATATGCAGAAATACTGGCAATAAAGCCTCCTTTCTCAAACACAGCATCAAAATGATTGTAACAAGTACTTAAAATAAATTGAATTACATAGTTATATAATTATTATATGTATTTTTAATTTGTATACTGGGTGATTCAAAAGGTCTTAGAGAACTTTAAAACTAGATCAGGAATACAAAAAACAAACCATTTATGTAGCCACAAATGCCACCTGAGTGTTCTAGAGGGCATTGTTTGCCAGATATTTGAGTTGGGCCATTGATGTTGTAGGAATAGGATGCATCATTACAGTAATACTAGGATGACAGATATATAGTTAGCTTGTGGGAAAGCGAATGAATGGAAACAGATGAGTCGCAGTGTGATTGTAACATGAATAGTTCCAAACAGATGCATGCCCATCATCAAACATTTTCACATTTTCATCAGAAACTGATCATTGGGAATAAACAGCCATTGTGGTTGGGACCAAACAACATGCACACATGCATGAAAGAAGTGGTTATACATCAAATTGAATGCAATCCATGTTCAAGTACAGTAAATGAACTATTTTGCAGCAAGTTCGAAAAAACAAGTTGGTAAAAGTCCAGAATTTCTACATTACGCGTTTTTTCTTAATCTTGCTCGTCCTTAAAACTATGCTAGAACCGCTTAGTAATGTAAGTTAAAAACTATTATCGTGCTTATATATATTTAAATATATACTGTTATAATACATACTTCTAGATACAACTTCATCATCTGCCTGAACCCCGAATTGATCTAATTCCTCTACAATACTTATTTCTTCCACTTCAACCATTTTTCAAATATTAAAAATTCACATAAAAATAAAAGTAGACAATAAACATCAAACTAAAAAAAAACGTGTTTTTGACAGAATTTGCCGCCAAATTTTGCGTAGGCCGTCTAGCGGTTAAAACAATTTATTAAAAACTAAATTTTTATTTTATAATATTGTAGTAATTCAAACTTTAAGTTTAAATTAAATAATTTATCTCATAATTTCTAATTAATTCAAACATATTTATGAAAATAATTATAATAAATAATAAATTTTAATTTAAACTTTTTGTAGAAAATACGTATTATAGTAAATATAATTACTGTAGGATCAAAATATGCGGTTATCTAAATTAATTTCTTGTAACAGAAAATCTCATTTTTTTTAGTTATAATGAATTTTCAGCTAATAGTTTGACCTAAATTATTTTTATTTCTTGTCTTAACAAAAAATTATTGTGTTAGTTTATATCAAGGTCTTAGATTATATCCCGTTTGACTATACACTACAGTCAAACCTGTCTTTTTATTAAAACTCTTTTTGCCCTGTGGACACTAAGAAAGCCTTTAATTATTATTGCCTTATTGTCCTTATTTCAAATCTTATTATATTTGTCAACTTGGACCAGAGCCGTAACTAGCCATTCCTGTGCCCTGTGCAATAATTTGCATTTAGGCCCCTTAATTTATTTGGTTTTGGGAAAATATTAAAAATCTATTGTAATGTATTCGTTTTATTAAGATTTATTTTAATTGAATTTTTCTGGCTTTAATTTCAGCAAATTCATTAACTACACCATCGTAATTAATATTTTTAACGATATTGTATTCTATTGAAATAATAGAAATATTGGNTCACTACGTCCCTCTAAAAGTCGCCACAGTTGGGAACACTGGTGAGCAGACATCTAGGGTCTAAGTATGGCAAAATGTAATCGCCAAACCAGGCTGTAGAAAGGCGGAAAAATTTAAAATTTAAAAATATAATTTATTGTGAACAGCAGTTTGGGCCCCCCTTCCAAATGGGCCCTGTGCGGGTGCACCTGTTGCACCTGCCTAGTTACGGCTCTGACTTGGACCTAAATTATTAATAGGACTGTTAAACTAGTGTTAAGTATTAACGCAAAATTGAGCGAAAGTTCTCAAAGAAAACAAACTTCCTTTATATGTACAGGAGGCTCAATAAAGGAAGTCTGTTTTCTTTGAGAACTTTCGCTCAATTTTGCGTTAATACTTAACACCAGTTTAACAGTCCTATTAATAATTTAGGTCCAAGTTGACAAATATAAAAAGCACCAAGAAAGCCTCTTTTTTGCAAGCCGATTATGGGTTCGGCTAGGCCCACAACGGGGCGGCAGGGTAGTGAGGGACAGGGCCCCTACATATCCGGATGGACCACCCCTGAAAAATTCCTGAGGATTATTCGACCCGTCCGGATTCGATCCAGGGTCCCCCAGAGCGGTAGGCTTCCACCTCGACCGCTCGGCCAGACCTTGTGACTACACTACAATGGTACAATTAAAAAATGCAATCAGGTATTTTTAAATGACTCATTTTATGATAATTATAGTGTTACAACAAATTTTATTTTCAATTTATAGTAAAGATAGAATGGTAAATTTTAGGATTGGGTTTACCATATTTTCCATTTCAATAGAGTAGGTGGCGCCGTTGTCGTCAAGAATTTTCTCGAAGTGTCCAATTGTGCAATTACAGTACTGTACTCTGTTTACAAATAAAATTTCTAATTTATAGTTATTAACTATAGCACATAGGTAGGTGAATTAAACAAATTACACATTAGAAAATTCCTATTCTGTTGAAAATTCTGTTGATAAAATGAGATATTTTGGGAGTAACATAAAAAATAAACTAAATAAATTTGATTATATCTTATCTAGTTATTGAAGTAATGTAATGCATTCTATTACTGTTTTTCAAGTTTATAAAAATCATATAATTTTATTCCATTGCTTGATTTTTCCTATTACAGAACACATGCCTTCAATAATAAATCTTAATTATCTCTAAAGTATAATTTATTATTGAATTTGTAAGTCACATGAATTTTGGAGTTTATCTTTAATTAATAACTTATATATATTATAATAATCAGAAATCTTTCTAAACTGATTATATGAAGTATAGATTAATCTATAAGAAATATCAATTGTTTAGTGATGACAAGTAAACTTTCCTCAGCCATTTAAGATTTGAAGAAAATGCTTTTAAATTAGGGATTGTAAATGAAACTTTTTCAACCAATCATAATCCAAAATGAATTGTTTCAACTGTACAATCGAAACATTTCATTTTGGTTAGTGTTTGTTCCTAGCAGTTAATATGCCAATATGAACCTAGATTAGTGTTTCTCAACACGGGTGATATCGCCCCTTGATAACGCGTTTTTCCATGTTGAGGGGGCGATTAGTAACAATTTATATTTTGGGGGGCAAAAAATATGTTTTTTGGGCTATATAGTAAAACATTATATAAAGAATAATTAGATATTTTATTCGTTACATCCTACAATAATTAAACAAATAACATTATACTAGTCACTAGTCTATTCAATGCAGTACGAATTTGGTGTTAGTCTTCGTCCTGGGCATCGGAATTTTGATGTGAAGGGAACGATAATAGGTAACGGTTTTATTGAAGGGGGCGACAATTCGTTAGAGGTTGAGAAACACTGACCTAGATTAATCCATAACATAGCTCTGTTAAATTTATTTAGATTCTTATCAAAATGATTGATTTATTTAATTTTCAAATATGAAATCTGGTAAAATGCAAAAGATCAAATATATGTTTAAAAATAGAAATAAATCAGCTTTTTTTTAATATCAATAAATTACATAATTTATTATAGCTACATTTTTACAGTTTTAGAAGCAAAATGGCACTTTATAAAGGAGCAGCTAGTGAAGCAGGCAGAGCCTTGCAATTAAAAAAGAAACGTGAGAAAGCTTTAGAAGAATTAGAACATCGTAAAAGAAAAATTGAAGAAGAAATGAAACTTTCAAATATTGAAAATAAATTTGCTACACATTATGATGCTGTTGAGCAACAATTAAAATCTAGTACCATTGGATTAGTCACTTTGACTGAAATGAAGGTATGAAAATATACTATTAAATTAAGAAATTTTGAATCAAGCAGGAATTCTACCATTTATTTATATGCATTCACAGACTATACATTTATAAAAATGATATTTGCATTTTCTTTAATATTAAAATATTAATATTTCAAATATACTGTAATATGGTTAATATTAATGAAAATATGTCTATATCTGATGTCTCAATACTGCAATTTAAGGTAGGATCCCTGTTAAAATAGAAGTTCTTGAAATTAGATTTATAAAGAAACATTAATAATTCAAATATTTAGTAATCATTTACAGGCTAAACAAGAAGATGTTGTGAAAGAAAGAGAAAGACAACTTGCTCAGAAACAACATGAGAAAGAATTAGAAAGACAGCGAGAAATAGAAGAGAAGAGAGAAGCAAAAGAAAGGCAAAAGAGACAAGTAAGTATTTACATATTGAAAGATAAAATGTATGAATTTTAAATGTGTGTACATTTCAAATTTTATATAAATTTTCTTTAAATATATTAATTCTAATATGGAAAACATGTGTCTTAGAATTAAAAAAATAAAATAAATTTAAAAAAATTGTTTTTGAAAATAATTATTCTTACAAGAAAGAGTGCACATCACAGGAAACACAAATTTGAATGAAATTTTTCAGTTTGTAAGGTGGAGACCTCTTGAGTTCACATGTAAAATATAAGGTGTAGATGGCCAGCTGTTCAATAATAATTAACAAAAAAAAATTTTAGTGTCTGTTATAAAGTGCACAATAAGGATGACATTCTAACAAGCAGAATAGTGGCTAAGATCTTTGCCTACTACGATGTCCCAACTTTAAATTCCAATGTTTTTGGAATTTTTTTGAAACTTTTGTTAAAATAGTATGTTTATAAATAATATTTAAATTACATAAACAAAACAGTTTTGCTATTTTGTTGCCCACAATTTTTACCATTTCCAAATTCTTGCTGATGGATTGTTTGCTACACTAAGGTGATTTATTCTCCTGAATAAGCAAGCATATCTTTTAAAAGTTATTTGAAACAACCTTTGAATTTCTAATTGCTGTATAATAAACTTCATGAAAAGTATAAGGAAATGAAACTTTAGATGTTGATGACACTGTTCCATTTTACTGACAGTGACAAAAATTTTGATCTTCTCTCTTCGATAGCACACAACCAATATGACTAACCAGTTTGTCAGTAACAAGGCAATAAAACAATAAAATTAGTCTGTTTCAAGAAGCTAGATTAATGTCAAGTGTACTAATCAAGAAATGCTATCTAACAAATTAAATACATAATTATTCTGATTAAATTAATTTAAATATTATTTATAAATAGATATTTTAATAAAAGTTTTTAAAAATTTGCAGAAACATTGAGATTTGAAGTTGGGATAGTATCATAGTAGGCAGAGGTCTTGGCACACCACCACATAGGATGTTGAAATGTCATCCTTATCACACAATAATGGCCACAGGTTATTTTGTTAATTATTATTGAATGGTTTGACATTTATACCTAATATTTTACTTGTGTGCTCAGAAGGCCCTCACTACAAACTGCAAAAGTTTCATTCAGATTTACGTTTCCACTAGCATGCTCTTATTGGTTTTGGTTTAAATAACAATTTTTCAGCTTTTTATCAGAAATATTTATATATTTTTAAGTATTTTTAGCATTATGCCTTGATAAGAATTGAAAAGATAACTGCAAGAACTATGCAAGTTCAAGATATTAACTTTTCAGGAGGGAATAAAAATATGAATAGAAAATTCTGGAATCATTATTAATTATATTTACAAACATTACTAGAAATAATTGATAGTTAACTAATACCTCTGTATCAGAAAAAAAAAATTAATTTTAAGCTCAGAAAGGACAATAAATATGGAATGAACTTAACTGATTATTGTACTAAATTTAATGCAATCAGTATGAAGAAAAACAAATTTTTTTTTCTCTTGATTTTTAATGTTACAAATGTTTTGTTAACATTATTACAGCCACAATGCCAATTTTGTAGAACATTAAGTTGGTAAAATGAACACCAATAGGGCCCACCAGTGGCCAAGCAGTCTTCGTTCCCTGAACACTGAGAGTTCAGTCATGGGTTTGGCCTTGCTCAGACAGGCTGGCCATGTGGAGTTTTCTGGGTTTTCTCCACATCTGTAATACCTGAATAGGGGCCAGTTTCCCTTAAAAAGACCTCCTGGAAGGCATCCCTCTAGGCAGATTGCCCAAGTGTTGCATTGCCATAACAAACAAACGAACACCAATAACTTGTTTACAGCAACCCACTCCAAATGGATGGGTAATACTTTTATTAAGGAGTAAATATTTTGAAATCATGAATTTATTTCCTTTGACAGTTACACTAAAATCTTTGAAAGTATTGTAGAAAATTGAAAACATATCCCAATTGACATACTGTCTGTGTATATGAGTGATGCAACTGTTTACTGTGTCTCATTCCATACTACATCAATGAAGTAATATCATTCTTGCACCAAATTATAGGGTGACTTTTTCTGTAAGATGATATGTAAACCAAAAAATCATTGAAAATGGACTTGCATTGTTCTTGCACCCATTCCTTCAATTCTTATAATATATCATCAATGATATGAAAATTATAATGTTTTTAAAAACTGCAACAACAAAAAATATGAGGAAATTCCAAAAATTAAATAAAATTTATTAATTTATTTAATAAACAAATGATATTGCTGTATTTTATAGGGCTATAACATCGCTAATTAATTATAAATGTAAAAATATCACATAATTTGAACTGAAGGTTAGGTCTTTATCTTATATTAAATTCAACAATTTTGAATGAATAAATTATGGTTATATGTTTAAAATTAATTAGTCTGGAAGTGAAGATCAGATGAAGATTCAGGTAATGTAATTATTGGCAGCACATCTGTACAGTAAGCAGAAGTTGCAGGTATGAGTCCTGCTCTGGATCAATCTTTCCTCCAGAATATTTAAATTAATTAACTCATTTTTAATTATTAAATTTAATACAAGATGGCAGCTTAACTGCCTATCTTTAGTCTAAATTACATAATATCTTCATAATTAATTGACTTTATTATAGTTTGAGTAAAGTCCAGTACTATTGTTTGTTTATAATCATATGTCAAGCTTGGTTTGCATGTAATTATCTAAATTTAAAATTTATGACATTCAATGTTTGTATGTTTATTCGTTTTTTATTTATGTGATTATAATCATTATATTTATTATTTGTCTTAAAAATATTTGTAAAAAATAAACCTTTCTTAAAAAAAGATTTAATGTAATTATATGTTATAGATTGCAGCTTTATCATTCAGAATGGATGATGATGATGAAGAAGAAGAAGAAGAAGAAGGTGGTGGTGGTGGTGGTATTGGTAGTGATGATGGTGGTGATGATGAGGTTGATGATGATAAAAATGTAAAAAATGAGTCAAAAATTAAAAGTGCAGATGATTCGGATTCTTCAGAGGCAATACCAAAAAAGAAAATTCGCAAAAATCCAGATGTTGACACAAGCTTTCTACCTGACAGGGATCGTGAAGAAGAAGAAAGAAGACTTAGAGAAGAATTAAGACAAGTAAAAGATTTTAAATTTATTTCAAAGTGTTTCATCAGTAAAATTTATATTTTATACATTTATCATAAATACATGTGATATGAAATTTTCAATGACCTTGGTTTATACTACTATAGTAAAACTTCTCTAACTCAAACATCTGTAACTTGAATATTTCTTTAACTTAAAAGAAAACAAAGCACTTTAGGACTCAATGGAATGGCATAGGGATTTAATGTCTCCAACTTAAATTTCTTAACTCTAATTTTCTCCAAGTTGAAGTTTTTCATGATTTCCCAACATGTGTTTGTTACTTTCAACTTCCCTGACTTAAGTTTTAATATTTATTCTATTCAAAATGATCCTGATTATTGGATTTCCATGAAATTTTCAGACAGTTATATCTACTCTCCAATATCAATTTTCAGACAATGTTCTAGTCCAAGCACTTTATCTCAACATGATGTATTGTACCTACAAAACTGTTCAATGTAACTAATAGAATGGCTGTTTAAAACAAAAAACTATCAAAGATTCTTTATATAATGCAAGAGAGGTATAAGTACAAATCTATTCAGAATTGGCTTTATTCACTCTATTGTTCTCTAACTTGATTTGTCTGTAACTAGAAGTTTTTTCCTGCCTCTTGGAACTTTGTGTTAGAGAAGTTTTACTGTAATGATTTTTATTCATAAACAGTTAATAAAATCATAAATTTCATTTGTGATCAACATCCTGTAAACATACATTCCTGTAAACACTAAATGTCTTCTGAATGTTTCGCAGAACCTCTGAAAGTGTCTGAGGATTCCGAGGTCCATTAGACCCCAACTCCAAAATAGTTGAAAGAAGGCATCAAGTGTTTTAATAGAGAAATCTGAAGTCTTAGAAAAATTCAAATAATTCAGAGTATGAATTATCAAAGTTTAATATTCAATGCATTGTAGAATGCCACAGTGTCCAAACAATTGATCAATTTTAAGCCATCTGCTTATTTTTCAAGATTATCTGTATTAATTTTCTTGTCATTATTTTAAATTATAATATTTCCTTTTATCTTACTACTGATTATTTGTTAATTTTTTATTATTTATAGTTTTTTAATCAAAATTTATAAAACTAGTACACAACATAGATGTAGAGAGCAATTGCAATGCAGTGCAAGATACCACAGTTGCTCTTAGTATTTTATGTATTGAATAGAATTACAATAGTAATTTTGTGTATTTATTTTTTCATTAATGAATTATACAGTAGAAGTTAGTTAATCCAGCACTCAGTAATTTGAATTCTTCTCTGAAGAGTAGTCAATAATCTGTTGATAATTACCAGAGAAATCTGAAGTCATGCTTGTTTTTTTTGGGAATTGGAATTTTTTTGGACTTGTAGAGTGCTAAAGACTCATTATTCAAGAAAAGTACAGCATTACAAGTAATTAAACATAACAAACATGTTTGAAAGGGTCAAAAAGTAAACTTTGTCAGGACATCATCTTGTAGAGGCAGAAGACATTGATCCTGATAGATGAAACAGTTTCATAAATTTTCTCAAAAATAGTTTGGAGGACCTCAAAATTCAATGCAGTGCAATAAACTATATATATTTTCTAAATTGTATTGCGTTAAGCAAATGTTACTTTATTAGACCTAGTACACATCTCGTGTTCAATAATGTGCCTGATTGATGTACATTGGACACTCAATTATCTGATCTTGATGGGACCAGGGGTCTTTCAGATAATCCAGAAACTCATTTCTTTTTGGGTTTTGGTTACATCAAGCACTGTACACTACATTTAAAGTACATTAATTTAAAGTTTCATAAACAGTACATACTGTAATGCAATTACTGTATTTGAAAATAAATTAATTTACTTAAATTTTAATGTAATATTACTTATATCAGTGTTTTTTCAACCTTTTTCTCATCACAGACTGATTAAATTATGGATAATCTATGAATTAATGCTTATTTATTATGCTTATATATGCTTATCTAAAGTTACTATATGTAACAAAGTATATAGTTACTCTAGTTTACTATTTAAATGTCACTTGTAATCAACTGCACCAGTGTCAGTATGATCAAATATTTTTCTGCAGACTTTTTGAATTTTTTGCAGATCAGAAGTTGAAAAACACTGACTTATATGACCAAGTTTCATGGTGATACAATCAACATACAATATAATGATTTCCTGGTACATTGAGTGTTTTGTCTCTGTATATAATACTTCTGTGATTTGTTCAGTACAACCCTGCATGTTTTGCTTTTTTTTTTAACCATTTTAAATAATCAAGTTTTAACTGTGTTTTCTTTCCCAAAGACAAGACAAGGACAGTGCACTTAAAAAACAGGTTCCTTGTGATCAGAACATATGTAGCTTTTGTGAATTATACATTTATAGTACATAATTCACAAAATATAATATCACAGTAGGTGGTACATGAATCATTGTGAATGTTGATTTTGAAGCAATAACACACACAAGGTTTGTGAAGGATTTTCAATCAAATTTAACCTGTAATTACATGCAATTTTTTAAACAAGCAAGCATGCATAACCTGGTGATTTTCTATTGATTTTTTACACATTAGTATAGTGCATGTAATTGCTGTTCCTTGAATTTAACAATCCTGAAAAATCCTATAATGCGTAATTTATATGCAAAATTTCAATATATTGTTTAGTTTATGCGATATTATTTTGTTTACAGAACAGTGTTTTTGACCTGGCTCCCATAGTTAGCCCATCAAACTTTCTGATAGCATGGGCTAATATGAGATGAATTCAGCTGGAAATAAATGACAGGAGGACTGTGGTATTTCTCAAAAGGATCAGAGAATGATTTTTTTGGGCATGAAATAAAGCTGTGGCTTACAGAGACAATGTTCAAGGTCACAGAAAGTTGCTGATCACCATGTCATTAAATCATGCATGGCTAGGAAACATCCATTATGTCATGACTATCTCTTGTGGAATTGTGAGAGCTCTCCATGGCATAATTTTTGATGACATAGTGGAAAATTTCCTTATACATGTGATTGTGTGACAATAAGGAAAAGCTATATGATTGCATGCATATTGTGGAAATTTTCTGCAGCAATTTTTTGAAGGCCTGTGATACCAAGAAAAAACCAAAAATTTTTACACAGATAGATGGCATGTAGCATGATATCATAGAAGCACAGCTGATTAAGTCAATATGTTGAAAAATGTCTGCAAAAAACTAAAATCATTCTTGCTACATGTGATCACAGGTACAGCCTTGAACTGTAGCATCTTCAGACTGATTAAAGAGTGTGCATAAACAAATTGGAAGCATGCACCAGTACAGAATCACATCAATGTCTGAAATATTCAGATCTCATAGAACTTATTGAATGTCTGGTAATCAGTATTTTTGATAATTCAGTACTATTTTGGTTCCATAAGTCAGAAATTATAAACTTTACTGTACATAATCAATCACCAGTGAAAAATTTATTTTTGGTATAACATTATAAACTAATCAGAAAAATTATATTGCTATTTTTTAAATTAATAAAATGAAAGATAGGCATAGTTTGATTTTTCACCTAATAAAATAATTGTTCATAAGCTGTAAACGTAATATTGTTTTGTGTTGGTTTTGTTGTTTTACTGTAAGATGCTTGAAAAAGGCCAACCTGGCCACAGTGTCTTTTGAGAAATAAATAAATAAAAATAGATATCATTATATTGAAGTGCTTGCTTTTTTTAAATATAGGAATGGGTTCAAAAGCAAGAAAAATTGAAAAATGAGGAAATAATAATTACATTTAGTTATTGGGATGGATCTGGTCATCGCAGAAGTGTAAAGATGAGAAAAGGAAATAGCATTTATCAGTTTTTACAGGTCAGTTTTTACTTCTAATCATTAATTTTCAACTATTTGTATAATAGTGAAGTTATTATTTTAAAATAATTTTTATTAAGTAATAAGTTTATAGTGACAGCTTTTCAAAACCATTTAAACGAATGTATAAAACTTTCATAGGATTATGCATACATACTTTATGTATATGTAACATATACACTTCATACATTTGGGAAAAACAAGTGAATGTTAACAGAAAAATAAAAGATGAATGCAAATAACAATAAATGTTGACATCAGTATGAAATGTGACTTCCTTTAGTATTAATGCAAGCTTGACAGTGTTGATTCATACCTTCAATAAGAAATTGCAAAAAGTGAGAAGGCAGCGATTATCATTCAAGCAGAAGAGTAGTTTGGAAGTCACTGAGCATTTATGGAGGCAGTGACAGCTGAAACATGTCTTCCTAGAGTACTCCATAGATGTTCTATGGGATTGAGGTCTGGAGAGTATGCAGGCCAATCCATTCATTCTATTCCCTCTACATAAAGGTATTGGCCAACCAGTCTTGTTTGATGTGGACAAGCATTATTGTCCATTAAAGTGAAATCTTTTTTTGATTGCACCAGCATAGTGGTTCAGTATCTCATCCCAATACTTGTGAGAAGTAATGATAACATGGAGATCAGTGCATCCAAGTAATGAAAACCCAACCAAAACAGTTTTTCCACCACCACTAAAAGTATATCTTTCTGTTATGTTCTGTGGCTTGTAACAGGTTCCAACCTTACTCCAGATCAATATAAGCTTGCTATCATGAAAAACTTCTCATCTGTAAACAGGACATGAGCCTGTTGTTCTTGAGTCCAACCTACATGCTCCTGACATCACTTCAGGTGGGCCTGTTTATGCATGAAGGTTAATGGTACACATACTGCCAATCGACAGGCATAAAGTCCAGCCTTGTGAAGCCTTCTGGTAACAGTTGAGACAGATACCTGCTTTCCTGTGGATGACATGAGGAAGCATGCAGAGATGATATAGATGTCCTATTGTTTCTTTTGGCTAGGAGCCTTATATAATGAATAATGATCATCCTGAGATGTTGTCACCGGTGGATGACGTGAAACAGGTCTTCTGACAACGGTTTCTGTTGTTTGGAATTGTTTCTAAAGCCTTGAAGTAACAGAATGACAGACATTAAAGAATCTTGCCATTTCAGTAATTGTTGACTGGCCTCCGATCTTCCAACAGCTCTCCATCTTTCTGAATCCTGTAAATGTCTTCTTTGGGACCTGATTATGTACTGTTTGCACCATAACAATTCTGTTTTCTGTTCTTTATTGTCTAAAGTACCCTTTCAGCAAAAATAGGGGGAAAGATGCCAGTATTTTCCCACTGCTCTTCATTTGCATATTTATGTACATTTTGCATAACTTTAAGGGGTAAATGTTAGTCTTCTTACTAAATTATACTTATACACTAATTTTCATTTTCATTCATCATTACATTTCATGCTGTTTCAGGCTTTTGCTTTTTGTGATCCTTGCTTAACTTGTGATGAGTATATATATATATATATATATTATATGTATATACACACATTATTAATATTATACGAAATAAAATAATAATAATATAATATATTGTATTTACACTCATTGACAAAAAATGCATACCAAGAGATGTTGGAATTAAACGAAATGTTATATTAGTGCAAGCATAATGACAATGTTAATAAGTGATTACATTATAATATGCAAATGAACAATTTTCTGTGGAACAACAGTACACTTTAAAGTAACGTTCAATACCTTGAAAGACTTCCTTGCCTGAATACAAGTAGCAATATAGTCAGGCTTGGAGGCATACAGGTACAGGCATGATTTTCAGATTTGCCTACAGCTGAAACACTTTTGGGCAAATCATAATATTTAATTACTTGCATTATTTATTTTCCATTTTGATTTAGTTATTTTAAGTTTTGGGGGTTGAATTATGATAAACCTCAACAGCTATCTCAACACTCATTTGCATAATTTCATAATGATTTGCATAATGAATGGCACTGTATCCCATTACAATAAAGGATTAAAATATTAAATAATATTGTACTATATATTTTGTAATCAGATTGTATTAGAAATACTAGTTTTGAAATATTTTATTTGTTATAAGTTGAATATGTAAATTAACAGTGAGTGTATAAAAGACTATTGTCAAACTGGTGTAGCAAGCTAGACTACCTGCTTTGCTCTTTTTACTCTTGCTAGTTAGTGTATAGCTGTGGAATTGTAAGCTATTGATAATTGTAAGTGAATGATTGAATTGATGCCAATTAAGGTTTTTTCTTCTTCTAGTTCTTTTCCCTAATCAGGTTAATTGTTTGAGATTTTGAATAATTGTAATTTTGTAAATAGTACTAATAAGTATATATTATTGTTGTAAATGTTGAATTTGAGCTTTTTACTAACTGTTGTTGTTGAAATTATAGTTTTTGTTTTGACATAATGACAATGGTAATAATTGATTACAGTATTGTAACAAATGGATAACTTTCTGTGTAATATACCATGCAATCAAAATTAAGTCTGAATAAAAGCAGTGTTAAACAAAATTAGGGTTCGATCAAGTACCAAGATCAAGGTCTGGACTTGGGTCATGGTGAGTATACTTTCCATGACTTAATGGAAAAAGAAAGAAAACATCAAAAATGACACATATGTAAGCACAAATCAATGATAATTTTTATTAAGTCAAACTGTAATATATAAACAACAAGAATAACTATAAACATGAATTTAGTAGTAATAAATATAATATATATTTCAACTATTCAAACACCAGATCAAATCAATTATGTATAAGAAAAATAATCAATTATAAAAGGGTTTTCCCAAAGGTAACTTAATCTAATCTCCACTAGGTTCAACTAAATCTAATTAAAAAAAAAAAAAAAAAAAAAAAAAACATAAAATGTGTAGCACTGTGGTAAAGGTTGAATATTTCACATTGTTATTTTATTGTATCGCAATTGTTTCACATAACAATCGCGAGTGTACAGTACTCTCACGCTGCAAGAGAATTTACTGCAGGTGGTAGCAACGTATTATTTTTCGTAGAATTCCTCTGTAAAACAATGATATATTTGAAATCCAGTGCAGAAATCGCTTCACAACATATCAGTTGAGGAAAATTACAAAGCCTACAGTACAACTGTTATATATTTTTGAAAAATTCAATTAAAAAAACGCATTTATCTGCTGGAAACATACGCCACAAGATAAGAGTTGTGTATCAGACGTAAGCCGTATTCATTATTATTCGGTAAACCAAAACACTGTAAACTAAAAAAAAAAAGCCGTAACAAAGGCCCTTTTTGCCAGGCCTTTACGAGTTACATAAACAGGAGTTTTATTATATTGATCGCTCCCGAAATTCTAAGTTTTGGAAACATCTATTATTAAGGTCTCTTCTAAAATAAAGTAAGAGAAAACGCATGATTACAAAGCATAAATTTCTACTCACCATCATTAACTTTCTTCTGTGGCATAACGTTTTCCCTCATAGATAGTTCCCAAAATTTTTTTCCAATTTCAGCGTAAAATTTTTCATCTTCTTCGGCTGAATTTCTTGCTTCATGACTTTTTCTTCCGTGTACGTCGACGCTCATGATTCTCTTGAAAAATTACGATCGATGAAATATCACAACCACAATGGACGAATGCCGGAACGGGAATGACAGATTTCCGAAGTTTGTAACTAATACCACCATAGTATCGACATCTGGCGGTGTTAACTTAAACTATAATTATTTTGTTATCTAATGATTAATGAGATTTGTTTTAAAATTTTAAAATAAATAAATGAGTAAACATTTTTGTAAATTTAGAATCATTTTAAAATATTAGTTAATTAGTAAAATTTGTGTCTAAACAAGTATAAAAGGTTAATAAATATTTGAAGACAAAGTCCTCCCAAGAAAGGAACCTCCATTTATTATTTTCGCATTCTGGACTATACAATCTTGGCGACTGACCTTTCATTGTAGGCTGCTGGCCGCCAAAAAGTCCTTTTAAAATCACAAAAATACATCCAGTAAAAAATACAAAATTTTTTTAAAAAGGAATTATGGCATATGGACGTCTTCTAGTTACCATCATACATTGTTGGGGTTGTTTCGGCCTTTTATCTACTTGGAAAATGAGCGCTGGTAAATGTAGATTAAAAAACTGCTCCCCCCCGTGACGATACTTTTCAGACTTCCTTGTAAATTTTTCGTCCGATGGAAATAATTATAATTAAATAAATATCTGAGGACTTTTTGGCGGCCAGCAGCCTACAATGAAAGGTCAGTCGCCAAGATTGTATAGTCCAGAATGCGAAAATAATAAATGGTGGTTCCTTTCTTGGGAGGACTTTGTCTTCAGATATTTATTAACCTTTTATACTTGTTTAGACACAAATTTTACTAATTAACTAATATTTTAAAATGATTCTAAATTTACAAAAATGTTTACTCATTTATTTATTTTAAAATTTTAAAACAAATCTCATTAATCATTAGATAACAAAATAATTATAGTTTAAGTTAACACCGCCAGATGTCGATACTATGGTGGTATTAGTTACAAACTTCGGAAATCTGTCATTCCCGTTCCGGCATTCGTCCATTGTGGTTGTGATATTTCATCGATCGTAATTTTTCAAGAGAATCATGAGCGTCGACGTACACGGAAGAAAAAGTCATGAAGCAAGAAATTCAGCCGAAGAAGATGAAAAATTTTACGCTGAAATTGGAAAAAAATTTTGGGAACTATCTATGAGGGAAAACGTTATGCCACAGAANCCGAACTTCCTCCAAAACATCATAATTTATAAACGTTACGTTGACGACATCATTGTTCTCTGGAGAGACTCTCCGAACATCACCCAATTCGTGGATCAAATGAATAACAATCCATATGGTCTTACCCTGGAGGTCGAACAACACAGCGACTCATCGGTGCATTTTCTGGATTTGAATATTGACTTTGGA